CTTATGCATGCCAGTGCTGTGTGTGAGGTAATTTACTGACAAGTGTCGTCGGCATCTTCATATCCGGTCCCATGGGCGGCAAGCCACTCCCATCCGGTCACATGGGCAGCAAGCCACTCCTACAAAGGAGGCCACACCCACAGAGTAGGTTCGAACAAGTTTTGAAACCCACCACTGGCACGAAGGGACTCGGGACTGATGATATGTTTGACTCCCCCCTTGGGCTCAGCCTGGGCATCTCCTACAGTAACGACTCTAAGCTAATGATGTGCTGAACTCTACCTTAGTCTCTGCTTGCTCTTCTCCTACAATGGATGACTGGAAACAAACGCATTTGTTGACCAGTGAGTTCTTAAACGACCATGTCGATTTCTGTTTGCTGTGGATTTCGCATGGCTGCCTTAGTACATTAAGTCTGTTTCCCAATTAAGCCCGGTTCAAATGCTTCTGACTAATCTTCATTCCTTTTTCATTCTTCCTCACACATCCATCCTTCCAGGATGTCTCTTGTAGTGGAAGCCTTATAGTTGTGGCTGCAAATGGTGGTTGCTGAGTGCCTGAATGTGACCTCGGTAGCCACATGACTAAAATTTGTGACCTTTCCTGCCAGCTTCCGATAAGCAAAATCAATGGGGAAGTCCCAAGTTATGGTCACATGAGACCCTCATTTAATGGCAACTGGGATTATCGAAATTATCATCATTAAGTAGCGCAGTCAGGTGACATTGCACTTAATAACATCACTTATTGACCAAGCTTCTGGGCCCAAGTGTGGACATTAAGTGAGGACTACCTGTAGCACACTTCATGTGACATTGCACTTAATGCTGTCACTTAGTGACGGAGCTTCTGGGCCCAAGTGTGCACATTAAGTGAGGACTACCTGTAGCACACTTCAAAAAAAAAAAGCCAGCAATTCCTTTAGTTCACCAGTGGTGGTTAGCTAGAAAAGACTTAGCACAGCAATATGAGAGGGGCTCATATTTATCAACTCTGCTTCTTTTAAAAGGTCTAAAGGGGTCTTAAATGGACAATCAATTAAATATGAGCCACCAGTGTGCTGCAGATGTCAAAAAAGCTGAAGGCAGTCCTAGGCTGCATTAAGGGAGCGATGGAATCAAGATCACGTGAAGTGTTAGCACCAATTTATAATGCCTTGGTAAGGCCACACTTGGAATATGGGATCCAGTTTTGGTCGCCGTGATATAAAAAGATGTGGAGACTCTAGAAAGAGTGCAGAGAAGAGCAACAAAGAGGATTAAGGGACTGGAGGCTAAAACATATGAACAGTGATTGCAGGAATTGGGTATGTTTGCCTAGCTTAATGAAAAGAAGGACTAGGGGGGGACACGAGAGCAGAGTTGAGGAGCTGCCCCAAAGAACAGAGAATAATTAAAACAGTGGAATGGCTTGTTTCCACAATTTGTGGGTGTTCCATCACTGAAAGTTTTCAAGGAGAGATTGGACAGCCACCTGTTCATAATTGTGCAGGGTCTCCTGTTTTGAGCAGGAGACTGGACTAGAAGACCTCCAAAGCCCCTTCGGACTCAGTTATTCTGTCTTCTCCATCTTGGGCCCTATTCCAGATCTATGGACTTCAGCAAACTGAATCCCCAGCAGTGACAATGGTGGTTGAAATATCCTAGGGGAAACCAATTCTACGAATCTGAAACGCCTCCAATAAAGGAAAGCTGATCTACATTTACAAAGCTAGAAACAATAACCAGCTCAACAAAAAGATATAAAAACATGCCTGGCATTCAACTAAATCCAAGCACGTTTGATATCCGGAAATAAACCAGCTTTAATCCGGCGCTTAATATTTGGCAGAGGACAAACGTTTTTTTGTTGAGCTGAATAAACGCACCCTTTTTGCCCAAAAGAGGCTGAGAGCGGAAGCAAACTTTTTAGAAAGATTTGAATAGTAAGGGGATAAAAGCATAAATACCAGCTTGAAAGTGACCGATCGGTTCGTCTGAGGCTCTTCCACAATTTTTTGCAAGTTCGCAGCAACTGAAACAATAGGGAAGACACACTCAGCGATGGGCATTTACGAACAAATTTCCCTCCAGCACCAGCCAAGAATATACAGGCAAAAGGAAGGCCAGTTTGCCCTGCTGTGTATGCAGGCAAAATAAAATAGCAGAAACTGGCACAGGGATGAAAATATAAGTGATTTTTTTCCCCTCCAGTAAGGCTTGCGTTATATTACCTATGACTAAATCTCTGCCATCCACGAGTCCAGCCGAGATGAGTTCTTGCGATACTCCATCTGCAGTGTCTGCAAAGACCATAATTTATTTATGTTATTTATTGATTGATTGATTGGTCTTGTATGCCGCCCACTCCCGAAGGACTCCGGGCGGCTTACAATAAACAGAGGAGAGGATAAATAGACAGACAGACAAACAACAGTTTAAAATATGCAACATTCATAGTTACAGTGGGGCTGGCTATTTCAACAGCCCCCCTAGCCTGCCGGAGCAGCCAGATCTTAGTGGCTTTGCGGAAGGCCGGGAGAGTAGTAAGGGTCCGGATCTCCATGGGGAGCTCGTTCCAGAGGGCCAGAGCTGCAACCGGATTCCAGTTGCTGGAATTGGGTATGTCCAATTTAATGAAAAGGAGGACTAGGGGTGACATGAT